CAGACGGACGGACAGACGGACGGACATAGCTAAATCGACTCAGAAATTGATTCTGAGCCGATTGGTATACTTTAAGGTGGGTATAGGACCAATATTATTGTGCGTTACAAACATCAGCACAAACCCAATATACCCTACCCACTAAAGTGGTGTAGGGTATAAATATGCTACAAACTGTTGTTTTTTGTTCTGCTTATTATATATAAACTGTAGATACAAATTCATGTGTGTGTGTTCCTATATTTACATATGTTTGTACAAACATATCATTTTATGTAGGTCGAATCCTGTACTACCACATTTAAACCACTCCAGGATCAATAAACCTACACATGTGTTGAAACCATCATACATACGTACTATTTATGTTTGTGTATATGTATGAGAAATTGTAGGCTTGTGTTACTTGTGTTAATGATAGACTATAAAAGAATGCATTCATTTTGGGAAGAATAAAATGGGATGACAAATATAATATTTTCGCAAACCTTTTAAAATTCAAAATATTTCTCCCACATTCTCAATTTCAAACTTCAGAGTAGATGAGGCATTACTATATTCCAAACTGAACCTTCTCCTTAAATCTAATTATAATAAACTCTCAAGACTTAATTCCTTACAATTTCTGTGCACACCTTAAATAAAGTATAAAACATCCATAAGTTTGTATTTATCAGACAGACAATATGTGACGTCTTTGTGAGCCAGTTTTTTAAGTCTATTTTTTTTTGTGTGTAAAACTCTATAACGAAAAGGAAACAACAACAACATTGGAATGAAAATGTATTTCCATTATTTTACAGATTCTTACAAAGCCTGTGATTTTGGGTAAGATATGTATGTATGATTTCTTTTGTTTGAAATACATTTTCGCCTACAATTTTTCCTTTATTCATCTGTAATGACCCAAATATTCATTGAAAATTAATATTGAAAGAAAAAAAAAAAAAAACAAAATTGATTTGTCTTATGTTTTATTTAATACTTCAGCAGAGTACCTAATCGGAAATTTTTATTTGACATAAAGGGGGAGTGTTAAAAAATAAATATAGCTTGTGGTAAATAACAAAATTATGAAACATTCAGAATTAGTTTAGTATATAAAACGTGATTAATTTATAGAAAATATTCTTTACTTACTTATCCAGCAAGATAGAACTAACCTGTAATGAAAAAAAATATGTAACAATATTAATAATTTATTTTTTGTATGTGTTCAATTTAGTAAATAGTTAAAGTTTGCTAAAGATTGTGTAACAAATAAAACATGTTTACAAGGAATTATTATTAATAAAACGTGACTTTATTAAACAAGACTTTCTATGGACTGATTCGATATGAAAATATTTGTTCAAGTTGAAATATTTATAATTTTTTGCAATAAAATAAGTTTAATTTAATATCAAATTGGCAAATGACTTGGTGAGAATTATATTAATATTAATATATGAATAAAAAATTTGTGGACATATTTATAGATAGATCTGTTATAGATCTATCTATAGTCTTTACTATATGTATATCCGTCTATAGTCTTGACTATATATCTCTCTATAGTGTTGACTATATATCTGTCTATAGTGTTGACTATATATCAAGACAATAGACAGGTCTTGACTACAGATCTATAGTCATGACTATAGATCTGTATATAGCCTTCACTATAGATGTGTCTATTGTCTTGACTATAGATCTGTCTATAGTCTTGAATACAGATCTGTATATAGTCTTGACTACAGATCTGTAATAGATTTATCTATAGTCTTGACTATAGATCTGTCTATAGTATTGACTATATATAAGTCTATAGTCTTGACTATAGATCTGTCTATAGAATTTACTATATATCTGTCTATAGTCTTGATTACAGATGTGTCTATAGTCTTGACTATAGATGTGTCTATAGTCTTGACTATAGACGTGTCTATAGTCTTGGCTATAGATCTGTCTATAATCTTGACTATAGATCTGTCTATAGTCTTGACTATAGATCTGTCAATAGTCTTGACTATAGATCTGTCTATAGTCTTGGCTATAGATCTGTCTATAATCTTGACTATAGATCTGTCTATAGTCTTGACTACAGATCTGTCAATAGTCTTGACTATAGATCTGTCTATAGTCTTGGCTATAGATCTGTCTATAATCTTGACTATAGATCTGTCTATAGTCTTGACTATAGATGTATCTATAGTCTTGACTATAGATGTATCTATAGTCTTTACAATAGATGTCTCTATAGTATTGACTATAGATGTGTCTATAGTATTGACTAGATCTATCAACAGTCTTGACTATAGTTCTGTCTATAGTCTTGACAAAAGATCTGTCTGTAGTCATGACTATATACCAGTCTAATGTTTGGACTATATATGAATCTGTAGTCTTGACTATAGATCTGTCTATAGTCTTGACTATAGATCTATCTATAGTTTTTACTATAGATCTGTCTGTAGTATTGACTATATATCAGTCCATAGTCTTGACTATTAATCTGCCTATAGTGTTTACTATATGTCTGTCTATTGTCTTGACTATAGATGTGTCAATATTCTTGATCATATATCTGTCTATAGTCTTGACTATATATATCTTGACTATAGATCTGTCTATAGTCTTGACTATAGATCTGTCTATAGTCTTGACTATAGATCTGTCTATAGTCTTGACTATAGATCAGTCTATAGTCTTGACTATAGATCTGTCTATAGTCTTGACTATAGATCTGTCTATGGTCTTGACTTTCGATCTATCTATAGTTTGGACTATAGATCTGTCTGTAGTATTGACTATTTATCAGTCTATAGTCTAGACTATAAATCTGTCTATAGTGTTAACTATATGTCTGTCTATTGTCTTGACTATAGATTTGTCAATATTCTTGACTATATATTTGTCTATAGTCTTAACTATATACCTGTCTTGACTATAGATCTGTCTATAGTCTTGACTATAGATATGTCTATAATCTTGACTATAGATCTGACTATAGTTTTGACTATAGATCTGCCTATAGTCTTGACTATAGATCTATCTATAGTTTTGACTATAGATCTGTCTGTAGTATTGACTATATATCAGTCTATAGTCTTGACTATAACTCTGCCTATAGTGTTTACTATATGTCGGTCTATTGCCTTGACTATAAATGTGTCAATATTCTTGACTATATATCTGTCTATAGTCTTGACTATATATCTGTCTATAGTCTTGACTATAGGTCTGTCTATAGTCTTGAATATAGATCTGTCTATAGTTTTGACTATAGATCTGTCTGTAGTATTGACTATATATCAGTCTATAGTCTTGACTATAACTCTGCCTATAGTGTTTACTATATGTGGGTCTATTGCCTTGACTATAAATGTGTCTATAGTCTTGACTATATATCTGTCTATAGTCTTGACTATAGGTCTGTCTATAGTCTTGAATATAGATCTGTCTATAGTTTTGACTATAGATCTGTCTGTAGTATTGACTATATATCAGTCTATAGTCTTGACTATAACTCTGCCTATAGTGTTTTCTATATGTCGGTCTATTGCCTTGACTATAAATGTGTCAATATTCTTGACTATATATCTGTTTTTAATCTTGACTATAGATCTGTCTATAGTCTTGACTATAGGTCTGTCTATAGTCTTGAATATAGATCTGTCTATAGTTTTGACTATAGATCTGTCCATAGTATTGATTATAGGTCTGTTTATAGATCTGTCTATATTCTTGATTATAGATCTGTCTGTTGTCTGTAGTATGGACTATAGATCTATCTGTAGTCTGGACTATAGATCTGTCTATAGTCTTAACTATCGATCTTTTAATAGTCTTGGCTATAGACTATAGATCTGTTATACATAGATCTATATATAGTTTTGACTATAGATCTTTATATAGTCTTAACTCTTGACTCTTGAGTCTTAACAGTGGACCAGCCCAAGCTCTTGAGTATTCACCAGTCTACTGTCTTGACCATATAACGATCTATACCAGTGTATTGTCTTGTCTATGTATAGAAAACTCTCTATATAAAGAATTTTCTTAATTTTTACAATATTTACTAAAACACTAAAATTAATATAATTCTTCAAATGTTTGCTTTGTTTATTTATCCAATTGGACTATACAAGAGAACCAAAAAAATAATAATAAACAAAGTACATACATACATATGTATATGTATTTGCTTAAATGTTCCATTTGTTTAATACTAAAAGATCAAGTGCTGGTCAAACAACATTATAATCTATACTTTGATTATATTCTTAAGTTTAGTCAACCGAATAGATTCTTAAATATTTGAAAAGGAATGACAGTAATGACCTGTCCGGCATGTTGATTTTTATTTTAGGATTAACATTTATTAATGGTGGGGGATTATAGGAAAACAAGGAAAAATTTTGTATTTTTTGTTAGGATTTTTTTTTTAAATCGTTAAGAGATGATTTTTATAAGTTAGTTAAATTAAGCATGTTAGGATGAAGAAAATATATTAAAATGACTACTCTTTAGTTTACCTAGGGACAATAAAGTGACGTTTACGCAAAAATGTATGACTAAAGAAAGGCTTTTTTATAGTTTTTTTTCAGCACGTGTAGCATTTTAATAATAATATTTTTATTTCGTTAAATAAATTGTCTAACCAAGCGTTTAATTTCCCCATGGGGCTTTTAAAAAAGAAAAACAAATTTAAATTTATTTTTATATACCCCAAAAATATGCTTTAAAATTTTATTGAATATTCAATTTATTTTCAAAGCATACATTTTGATGTAAATGACAAAAAAAAAAAATGTGAATAAAAATCTACATAAAATATATTAAAACTTTGAAATTAAAATTTCAGTTTTATTTTTTAATACAAAACCATTAAAATGTAAAATTGTAAATAAATTTAATTAAAAATGAATAAAACAAACCAGATTTAATTACATTTAAATTATTAATTTTTTTTAATAATTATTTTTATTTTTACTTTATATCTTTCTGGCCATTTCTAGGAAGCTAAGGAGACTTTATGCGATCCGGAGAAGAGGGCCAATTATGATAAATGGCGTAATAGTGGTATTGCCATGAGTTACAAGAATTGGTTGGGTATGAAAGAGCATGTTGGTCAGGTGAGAAGATACACTATAGCGGAGAAAGTGGATAAAGAGGTATGGGCATTTGATAAATAGATGAAAAAAAAAGAATGTGAAAGAAACAAACTTAAACAAGACTATTTATACTCCAAAACCAAAATAATGTTTACAAAATTATCCCTTTTTTATATTTGTAATCCATCTTTTTTCTTTCTTTTATTTTCCTCTTTAGAAGTGGAAATATGTGTCGTGTTTTTCTCTGTACAAAAACAAAATACTTTTGAACTTTTTGATATAAAAAAAACACAAACGCATACAATATATTTGGCATGTTTTACACCATTTCCAACAAGAAAAAAAACATTTACATATAATTTTTAAAATATGAAAATTATTAAAGAAAAACTGTATTTTGGAAATGTTTTAATTGAGCTTTAGCTTTTTATATAGAAACTTTGGAAATGGTGTAATATTTATCGCTGTTTTTTCATACTTTTGTTTTATCCATATTTTTCTACGTGTCTCCTTGTTAATACTCTATTAAATGTTTTTAAGTGTATGTGTGTGTGTCTCCTTCATGTTCTCTTACTTATCTCCTCTGGCAACCTTGACAAATGTGTTTCTTTTCTGTTTTTTATACCCTACACCTTTTTAGTCGGAGTATATACTATTTTTATGTAAAACCTTAAAGTATCAGTAGAAATCATTATACTCTACACCAGTATAATCGGCTCAGAAACACTTTCTGAATGAATTTATGTCCGTCTGTCCACCCGTCTGTCTTTCCAAACATCTGTATGCCCATGTATGTCCTATACACACCTAGTATAATCGGCTCAGAAATACTTTCTGAGTGGATTTATGTCCGTCTGTCTTTTCGAACATCTGTATGCCCAAATAAATCTTATGCTCAATTTTATTAAATTTGGCACATACTCCCTACTTGACCCAAGGACAAAGCCCTCGATCCATTATTCAACAATGCCCCTCAAATAGGGCTTTGGAGCTTATAATTATGTTAAATGTTCTCGTATCTCTATAAAAATCGACAAAGTTGACATAAATTTAAATAATATTGTCAAACCGTTAAGATTGGGCCATGATCGTGCCAAGAATGAAACGTTTAGAAGGTCCTGAAATCAGTTTTCGTGTTCATATAACTCCAGACAATTAACTCCCAGAAACCCATCATTATCTATTGTAATCCATTCCATTTAAGCAACATTTTCGCTAATCCCTTAAGTTTGCAATGGTATGGGGTATTATGTAGTCAGGTTTGACCGACTTAGTATATTTTTCATTCCTTGTTCGTTAAATCCCGCCACGAACTCTTCTACGTATTTATAAGTTTAACAATTTTGTTTTATGATATTTTATATATCAAAACCATTAAAAACACATTCCATGTACTTGATACTTGTGTACTCTCGTTTTGTAACATATTTAGCATACCTCTGACATTTTTTTCCATTCGCCTCGTAAGTACTTTAAAATTGAAATTGTTTCTATAGTACTTTTTTATGGTTGGTTCTACGTCTTGCATGAATGGTAAGGAAAAAAAAAATTAAACTAAATATTCTTCGCTGCTTGCAAGGTAGTTTTAAAAGAGGAGAAAACATTTTAATTCAAAGGAAATTGAAGTACATTAAAATTATTAGAAAATATTAACGAAATCGTTCCTTTTTTCGTTCTTTCTTTTCAATTTGTTTTCATTAATATTGGAAAAAAAACACACACTCTTTTAAATTAAGTTTAGTACTTGGAATTCTGGTTACCTTTATCAGTTGTATTTAATGAAATTAGTTAATGTTAAAAATTAAACCAAAATTTTTAATAAAGTAAATTTTAATCATGTTTCCATTAAAATGTTATACAACAGTTGTAATTTAGAAACTGCGCAGATTTTTACAAAAATATATAAAAAATCTCATTTTGAAACCATTTCAAGAGAATATATCTAAATTCATTGATGCTACATCCGATTTATCTACAATGTTTCCGATGATTAGCTAGCACTGCTGGTTGGTCCCCTTTATTGGAAGTTGACTTTTTTACTTTATCATCGAAATTAAATAGACTGAAGATTCCGAAAGAACTCCTAGGCTGGATATAAGAGCTTTTAACATTCCTCACATTCCATCCTGATGGATCCATGGATCTTTAAGTACACTTCACCTCACAGAATCGCATTGAGGAGATGGTAACGAAAACAGATTTAGAATATTAAATATTAGTTAGAGTCCTCCTAGAGTTCTCTGCATAAATTAAGAACGACAAGAAATCCGTACATTTGACTACTCCGCAATGGACTAGGACTGATCCAAAACTAATTTAAATATGTATATGAAAAAACATGCTCCATTTAAAAGGTAAACCACGCGTGGACCACTTTTTGTTCAAAACAATTTAACATTGACTATAGGACTACTAAACGGATCATGTGCTCCAATAATGACGACTATCCAAATTCAAGTGAAATGTTAAGAGTGTAGCAGAATACGGATCTTTAGAATGTACAGATCAGTGGTGTAGGTTTAATTAAGTTTTCCCCAGTCGTTCCAAAGAGTAATCTTCGGAATATCTCCAAAAGAGAGAAAGATATAACGGATTTCCTTCGATTTTCGATAGAAACAATTACTTTTTGATTTCTTCAGCAGCGCCAAGGAATACTTATTTGAAACAACTTTCTTGAAGATCACATCTGTTATTTTTAAAATCTCTCAGCTATAGATTTTCAGCATATCTCTAATACTTTAATACTTGTTCCACTGTAGACTGGATAGCTCAATGCTGGGAGACAAAACGGTCCAGGTGTTCTATATTGAAGACCCAGAAGTAGAAATATTTCAGTCTACCTAATAAGAACACTAGCTTCCAGGCAGAAGTCCGAGCAATAACGGAATGAGTAAATTGTATTAGAATAAATATGGCGCCTACAGGGGCTAATATATTTTCCGACACCCAGAAGGCAATTAGGGCAATATAAAGTGATAAATTAAAATCTAAGACCGTATTGAATTGTAAGAAAGCTTTAACCGAATACTTTCCCAGAGAAAAGCTTTACATCATATGCGTACCAAGGAGAGAGTAGTCGGCAACAAAAGAGCGAATATACTTGCTTCAAAGTAAAGGTTTTGACACAACGAAGGCTGAATTAAAAATAAGGGCGAGAGAATGCTATAAAAATAAAGTCTCTTGTAATAATAAAACGGTGGATAAAACTCCAAAGATCCTATGGGGAGACCTTAACGAGAACAGGACAGGAAGCCTCTCCAAAATGAGCAAGTCTGAGATTAGCATGATGGTATATATTTTGAATGGACACATGCGATTACGGACGCAACTATACAAAATTGAACTTACGGCCGCAGACGAATGTAGAGCATGAGGAGAGGAAGTGAAACTCTGGAGCACTCTCTTTGTCATTGTCGGGCTTTCGTCAAAATTAGATCAAAATATCTTGGAAGTGATATTATTCCGGTTATAACATCCTTAACGTACATCGATTGGAAAATTCTTAGGAATTATGTCTAGAAAAACTGAGTTTCTGAACATTCACAGAGGTACCAAATTGACACCAAACTTTTTATAATTTTTCAATACCATCTGTTGTCAAAGTATATACATACGTACGACAACCCTATGTAATGTTGACAACATTGCAACAATTCGTTGTCGAAATCTAAATTCTATACACATCCGTTTTCTAAATGTTAACAAACGTGGTAAGCTCACTATTGACAAACAATCCGTTGCCAATAGTGAGCTTACCACGTTTGTTTGTATGTATATACTTTGACAACGGTTGTTATTGAACAATTATAAACTCTTTGGTGTCAATTTGGTACCAGGCGTGTATATTTCCTTTTCCCTTTGTGTTGGACGATAATGCCTTCATTGATCACAAACATTTTCCATGATTTTTGTTAGAATTTGATGTATTATACATCGTCATATCAATCTAACATAATTTTGTCAGTACAAATACTATTTGTTTCGATCATTACAAAATGGTTTCTCCTAGACACCGTGTGTCCGAATTTCACTTCGAATCCACAAGTCACTTCGAATTTGCTTTTACAACAACTGATTAAACAATGGGTACATTGTTCCTTGTAGAAGTTCTAGCATAAATATTAAGGGCGATATCGATTTTGTCGTAAGCAATTTTATATTATATACTCTTCAATTTTTACAGGATAATAGAGTCAAATATATACTTTAAATTCAGCTCCAAAAGGGAAAGTAATAAAATTTAATATAACCCATTGAGTATTATTATTATTGAAGCAAATATCAAACCTGTCAAAAACCTCTTCATTTCAATCAAATAACTCAAATTAACATTTTTCAGCGAAAAGAAAGTAATAAAAAATTACACAAATCTGTGGTTTGTTGTTTAATGTTAACGACACCTACATACATGTCGAATTTTGGTACAAATTAAGGAATTCTACCTATAGTATATAATACAAGGATATTCATATACTATGTATGGATATTTTTAACATTTAAAATACTTAAACATTTACAAACATAACCACATTTTATATATGTATGTATATATATGTTTTTACGTAGGTAGGTTAACTTCAGAGATTGTCTTCGAACGCAAACAGAATTAACCTTGCAGAAAGAAACCTCAAGTGGGAGCGTGGGGGCGTATATTGCGTTTCAGCATTTGATATTATTTTCTGGTTACACGTCAGATAATGATAATACTGCTGCTGTTGTTGTTGTTGATGATGATGATTCTGTTTGTGCGGTTTGGATTAAAATTTTAATGCATCAAGACATTTTCTTGATGGACACTTTGGTTATGTTTAACATTTTCTTGGTAAAAATATTGATGTATTTAAGATATATGTACAATTGAATTTATAATTAAATCAGTAAATTTTAATGAAGATAATAATGATATGAATATTTGTGTATATAGACATAAGAAATCATAATGAAGTTAATATGAAATTTGTAATTGAGTTTTAAATTTGGGTTTGAAATTACAAGGTATTTAAATCTTAAATATATTGGTGGACTCTGCCATCAAAATTAAAAATTTTTGCAAGGTTGTAACCTTTACCAATGAGGTTTCTGAGGTGCAATCCAGACTGGTTTATAGAAATTTTCGTCCAATATTCTTACGATATTCAATCTAGGTCAGATCTTTTTGGTTTCTAAACGGGTAATTAATTTTCCTAACTTCAGATAGCTAACAACTTTAGGCGAACTGACCAAAACACACAATCATCGGAAGTGTCCGATCGCATAGCAGACACAGAATATGTCGGGAACTTTGAAATACTGACCCCAGATAAAATGTCATGGTCAAGCGAAACTTCAGAGCAAATACCAGCAGAAATCCGTTGCTACACGGATGGCTCTTAACTGGGGGAGAAAACTGGCCTAGGATTATATTTATATTAAAGACCCAGAAATCAGAAATATACTACCGTTTACCTATTCACAACTCTAGCTTCCAGGTAGAAGTTCGAGCAATAAAAGAATGAGTAAATTGAATTAAAACAAATATTGCGCCCACATTACTTAACCTATTTACCGACAGCCAGATTATAATCAGAATGATATCAGGTGATAAAGTTAAATCTAAGACCGTATTGTTTTGTAAGAAAGCTCTAACCAAATACTCTCTCAGAGGTAAGGTTTACATCATTTGGATACCAGGCCACTTGAGAGTAGTCAGCGAAACGAAAGAGCAAAGAGCTTTAAAGTGAAATGAGCTTGAGGTAGTTAACCTGATGAACGTCGAACCATTCGATGCAACGAGGACAGAGCTCTTGGAACATTGAAACGATGGATACAAACACAAAGATCCTACGGGGTGACCCTAACGAGTGAACACATGGGATTACGTTGATAGCTATACAAAACTGGACGTGAGGATTCAGAATGTAGACCATATAGAGAGGATAATGAAACTCTGGAGCACTTTCTTTGTCATTGTCTGGCTTTCGCCGAAATTAGATTCAAATATCTTGGGAGTGATATTATTACAAACACTGATTTAAAAATTCTCATGAATTAAGTCCAGAAAACTAAGTTTCTGAACATCGGACGATAATGCATTCAGTGAATACTGTATAAGGTTTTTGTTTTTACCAACAAACATTTTCCATAAAAAGGACTGCACAATAGGCCCTATAGTGTCCTAGGTGTATTTATTTGAATATGATATAGTATACATCCTCCTATCAATCTAATCTAATTAAATGGCTAAGGTCATAAGCAAAAAGTCAGAGTATCACACGTTGGTCGATCTATAACTTCATATAGGAAGCCAGTGAAGTTAAACAGTTTTAATAGTCTCCATCAGGGTATTAAAATATAACCTCGAGATTGAAACAGAGAGTGGATAACAGGACAGTTATACAAAGTAATAAAACAAGTGCTTGCTGGAAAATCCGTCTTTCGCTGGTGCATCAGCACAGTTATTGACCTCTATGCACCGTGTTTTAGAACCCAAGTAAGAGTAACCGATCGAATATGCCGTCATATTCTAAAGAAACACCCGACATTGTAAGATGACTTTTGACATATTGTTAACATTCTCAAGAAATATGAATCCTTGAATATTAGTAAGTATGTGGATTTTCCTGTTAGATATCTCATAACACTCTATATGCTCGACGTCAATTTCAGCGAATTTTCATGTAGCCCTACGCACCGTTTTATGTTCAAAAGTACTGAGTTAGAACCAATGTAAGAGTAACCGATAGAATGTGTCGTCTTATTCTAAAGAAACAGCCGACATTTGATGATGTCTTTTGATATGGTGTAAACATTCTCAAGGGATTTCAATCCTTAACTATTAGTAAGTATGTAGGTTCGAAGCCAATTTTAATCAATTTCCATGTAGCCCTACGCACCGTTTTATGTTGAAAAGTACTGAGTATACGTCATGATCACGTCTGTGTGTGTTTATGATCCATAGGTGAATATTTGAATGGGAGGGACTATACATTATGTGGAGGACATTGGTGTAGCTCTTTCTGTTTGCGTTGTTTATTACAAAGATCTTACCGAATTTCGGTAATATCAGGAAATATTGGTCATATTCCCCATAAAATATATAGTATGGATATTTGTGAAATTATAACATTGTCTTTCAGTCAGGCAGAAATATTCGGTTTTGAAAATGGAACAAATCAATGAAACTGAATAAATTCCCAAGCTAAAATGCACAAGACCTCGATATTAAGGAGTTAAGGTATATTCAAAATCGGAATATTCAAATTCAAAGAAATACACTTCGGAAGCAGTAAGTATCATCCAATGGGAAATTAACACATTAAACATTTTTCAATTTTGATTCTAACAATGATGAACGAAGGCAGATATATGATCTATTTTGAGGACTAAAGCCTACACAGTACTCGATGGCCAATCCCCTTACTTTAGCATGTTATTATTTCTATATTTATTATCTTTCTACATTCAAAACAAGTTTACCAATACAAGTTTACCTTAACTATTAATACTCAACAATGACTTTGATGTGAAAAATCCCAGCCATTACCTCTTGATCCATAAGTAACCAAAATAAATGTTTGTAGCTAACAACAACCAAAAAAAAGCATGCAAAATTTAAACAATTTTAATTTATAATTTTTGTATCAAATAAATTTAATTTTCTCTTGATATTTCTTTAAATTCCAAAGTCCATGCATTGGGCCACACCTAAGACTAAGGATCGTATGTTGCCCGAAACAGCTGCAGCTGCTGGAGCTGGTGGCAGTGGTGGTCTTTCGGCTGCCTCACCAAATCCCGCCCATCGTCGAGCTTCTGAGGGAGGTGCTGCTCTCTACTATGGCGGTCGTAAACAGGAATGGGGCACTGATAATTCCGATGTGGCCAACAAATTTCGTAATTATGAAATTTAAAGAGGCAAACTTTCCAGGATGATTTATACCAAATAATGAACCAATTTTAAGAAAACTTGTTTTTTTAGTTAACTTTCCTATAATTTTAAAGAATTGAGGCATTTCAAATTTTAGTAAAACTTTTTCCCGAAAAATCATTAAAAAGAATTTTAATTAGTCAGAAAAGAAATTATATCAAGATTCAAAGAAAACTGTAACTAAATGTTAAAATTTTCACAAAATAATAAATAAATGTTTATAGATGTTTTACTTAATATTAAATTTTTAAAATATATATTATATTAAATAAATAAATAAATACATACATATGTCATATTAAATCAATAATAGTTAAAAGAAAAAATATATATAAAAAAATAACAAATTAAGAAACTGTAATTTCACATAAACATTAAGAAAAAATAAATATTTTTGAAAAACATTTTAATTTAAACAAAAAGAAAACAAACTCTTTGCTGTTTTTTTAGGATTAAGATTAAAATAAATGTTTAATAAATAAATTTAATTAAAACACTAACAGACAAAAAGTCGTTTGAAATATTTAAAAAAAAATCCCTTAAGACAATCCCCCTTGATTAAATAAACTGAAAAGTACCATACGAGTCTAATTCAAAGGAAAAAAAGTACTAAAAACTTAAACCACCTTTTTAAATGAAAAGCAAAGAAACGCACTTGAAAATTTATAATAAAAATATATTTATAAAAAATATATAAAAATATACGACAGTATTAAATTATTTTAATAAATGTTGTTAAGAAGTCTAGAAGGCATATATTGATGGAATTTAAAATCTTAAAACTAAATATTATATAATACTAGGTGTCCTATTTAAACTACAACAAATGACAAGAAAGAGGAGCAAAATATATTTAAAGAAAAAACTAAAATTCAATTTAATAAAAAAAAAAAACCCAAAAACTAAAGAATTTTTATGCAAAAAAAAAGTATAGAAAAATGCATACAAAAACTGAATTTAAAAAGCACTACACAATAAAGAAAAATTTTGCAAATGAAAATCTAAATGTTTTTATTGATGTCAAACATTTAAATAAATTAATTAAATATTTTAAAAATTTACACACACACTAAAAGAAATCATAATGATTTCTTTTTTAATATTATTTCAAATGCAAACAAATGCTAACATTAAAACAAACAAAATAATTAATAAAATCAATGAAATCTTTCATAATTACAAACAAAAAAGTACAGATTTTAAAGTCGTTTTAGTAAAATCCTAAAATTTTAAGTTTATGCAAATAATGTTAAAATTATAACAAAATCAAAATAATATCAGAAATTTATTTATTTTTTGTTTGTTTGTCTTGCAAAAGCATAAAAAATATTGAAGTCATGATAAAATTTCTAAAGAAAAAAAAGAAGGACTTTAATCAATAAAAAAAAGAATAAAAAACAAAAACTGGAATAATATTTTATTTATAAAAAACACAGGTTGAAAAAAAGGTGGATAGAAAAAAGGAGCGAGATATTTGCAACACAAAAAAGTAAGTATTTTTTTAATCCCTGAAAGTCCCTTGTCACTTTGAAAGCAAACAACAAAAAAAACTTTTAAAACTACAAGCACAGAACAATCAAGGAGTTAAATCATAATTTTATTAAGATTCTGAGTAGATTAGGACATGTCCATCCAACTGTTTAACTGGCTGGTATGATACATGTTTTTCGACCCACGGAAATGATGAGGTCCATTCTTTAAACTAGACCCTCAATTTGGATGTTAATGTAACCTAAGAAAATTTTGAATAATCTTAAAGTTTCCCAAATATATGATTTTTTTTATTTAATTCACATGAGAGGTACCAAGCCCCTATTGAAAGTCTGCTATATATCCCCATATGTTCACATAAATGTCAAAGTTCTTTGTGAAAAAAGATGGAGACCTACATCTCTAATAGTTTTCCATTTATACAAATTTTGTATTTAATTCATAACTGTGGTACCCCGCCCACTAATTCTAGTCCGCAATTTTAATACTCAAGTGTTCACATGAATGTCAAAGTTCTTCGTGCAAAAAAGTTCTTCGAGGATTTTAACTCTAATAGTTTCACAGACACGCAAATTTTTTGTATTTAATTCATATGGAAGGTACCACGCCCCCTATTGCTAGCCCGCCAATTTAGCACCCAAATTTTAACATGAATGTCATGAATGTTCTTCTTGCGAAATTTGGAGATTCCAGCTCCAATAGGTTCCCAGATATAAGAATTTGTGTGTTTAATTAATATAGGAGGTGCCACGCCCCCTCTTGCTAGTCCGGTCATTATCCCCTAAATTGTTTATATGAATTTTAATGTTGACCGTGCAAAATATGAGAATTCTAGCTCTGATGGTCTCCCAGATATACGATTTTTTTATTTAGTTCATAAGATTGCCACGCCCCCTATTTTTATTCCACCCATTTTGTCTTAAACAATCATAACGATACTAAAGCTCCGTTAGAATTATATGTAACTGTTATATATTCTCAGATATACTGAATTAATATTTTCTGAATATGGGAGTTGTCACGCCCCTTACAGCCAGTCCGTAAATCTTGTCCTCAAATGTTTGCATGTTAAATTGTCCATATGAAATTTGAGGACTCTAGCAGTTTGTTTCAGTGATGAATCAGATGATGAATCAGTTATGGACAATTTCGTGTCAAGTGACCCATTTTAAAAAATCGATTTGGGTGAAGTTTGCATCAAGGTTAGTACAATGGGATAGTAGGCCAGACAAAAATTTTCAGCTCTATAGGTCTTTCTGAGTTAGAGGGGGTCAAAGTTGGACATTTTGGTCCAATAGTACAAATCTTGGTGCAAATTTTATCCAAATCGATTTTATAAGTTGGGTCACTTGTAGTGATGCCAATCCAGACTGATTTTTAGAAATACCGGGATTCCGGAATCCCGATATCGGGATCCCAGGATTTTCGGGATTTCTAAATCCCGAAAAATATAAAAAAATTCAAAAAATCTTAATAACATTTTCTATTTCATATTGCAATATGGATACACTTAGTATCCACTTATTTCAAAGAATACAAATCTTTCCATCCCAGGTACTGAATAGTAGAATAAAAACCTACTTCTGAACAAAAGCTTCTTATATCTTATAAGTATAAAATTATACCCATGATATACACATTTACAATTTGATGAAACCTAATATTTAGATAGTATGTGTAATAAGGATCCATACGAGGCTACATAGAGCACCTGTACTGCACCTATGTACACATGAGACCATCCGCCTTAAGCTGAATATCGGATATATGTTTTTTAGTGGTCACTGGTCACAGAACTGGTTTCTATCAATTATTTCCAGCTTTTGAAAAGATACTAGCAATATTATTTTTAGTTATATCATGTGTTCTCTAACCCAAATAAGGGAATTATCATCTCGCTATCTTATTGACAGGTTGACTTCCATTATAGATTCTAATACAACCATTAGATATCCGATGGTATCAATGCCAATTTATTGCCCTTTTTATACCCCTTTATACCCACCTTAGTGAGGATGGTATGTTGGGTTTTTCCGGAGTAGTGCTTTTGTTTTATACTGTACTTAAAAACCCTGATGAATTTTGAAGTGATCGGGCTTCTTTTGATACTAGCCCCCATACAAAGCAAAGCTTTAAAAAAGAATTTAGTGTCCACAATTCGCTTAAAAAGAGAAGTGCCGCAATGAAATTCAGCATAAATACATTTTATGTAAACGTAAATTCGTCCTCCAAATTTTAAGGGGATCGACTCATATGAAGGCTTCCCCCAAGCATGTTTCAGATAAATAGTTTTTTAGCAATAAATTGCTAAAATATATCGGAGGCGAGGTATAAATGAACTTAAATGATTTATTATGAAAACTAAATCACATTTTACTCTCATAACTGGTGTAGTTGGTTATATGGTCGGCCTCGCCCGCCTATAATTTCTTACTTTTGTTATATCAATGCCTGTTTATTGCCCTTTTTATTTTTGATATTTCAGCTTGTAAGTTAGTAGTGTCATCTTAAGTCCAAAAATGTATAAAATAGCCGGAAACACTTAAAAATTCGGGATTTTAAAATCCCGAAAATCCCGGTTTTCGGTACTTTCAAATCTCGAAATTTCCGGGAATTCCCGTTTGGCATCCCTAAAATCCCGAAAATGCCCATATAGATAATGCATAGAATATGGCGATAAACTGTGATTTTTCCAACTTAAGGCGGAGATATTACCAAGACCTGATGTTATAAGCTTTTGATGGAGACTTTCCTCAGAATCAATTTCGTCCAATTTTGCTATGCAAAAAATGTAAAAAGAAATTACCATTTTAAAACTCTGATATGATGGTTCACATAGAATACATAAATAAATAGTAAAGGAGAATGTATAAAAACTTTTACAAAGAAAAATTATTGAAGGCAGGAATATGATACCTTTTTCTCGCGATATTGAGATGCACTTTAAAATTACAAAACATTTTATATAAAGAAAGTTATATGCATACATATACATATGTGTATGAATGGTTCACAAGCCAAAGCGATTAAGTCCTCTTTTCTATTTTTGTTTTATTTTTTAGCTTTATAATGACTAATTAAATTAGATTGAAGGGGCACAAAGCACTGCGACCTATTTGTGGATCTTTGGTGCAGCCCATTGATTCACCATATAAGTTCACGAAGGTAACTGGTTTAGTTGGTGAGAGGTTGAAGATGTCTTTTGGGGTTAACAGGGCAGCACCCAAGATCTTAGCTCTGCGAGACCCTAATGTAGGGCAGTTACATAAGATATGTTCTGAAGTTTCATCTTGTAGGCCACATAATCTGCATAGATTCGTTGATGAGTTGCCTAGAATAAATTGATGGTATCTGAGACTACAATGTCCAGTAAGTACTTCCGTTAGTACTCTGAGATCGCTTTTATTGAGCTCTAGTAGCTTTTGTGATTTTCCCTTTGGCAGTGTAATGAAACATTTTGTCTGTCTGAGCCCTGGTTTCGCTTCCTAATGCCGAATAATTCAGATTTTACCCAAGAGTCACATTTAGCCTATAATGAAAAAACGTTGGCAACTCTAATGGCAACGGAGTAGATTTTTTACAAGCTGTGCGAACTGTTTCTGAATTTTTATTAAAATCTAAATAAATAATAAAGAACATTTTACCAAATTGTGAAGAAATATTGTTGACAACTTTATTTGTTTAAAAAAAACTTAAATTTTACTGCAATACCATTTGCGTCAAAATTAATTTAAATTATAAATACAAGTACATAAAACATAACCTCACATAAATTTGTGCACATTAAATATGACACAAAAGTGTGATCATTGCAATAAATGCTTTAATAAAACTGAGGTCCGCGTCAAGTGTGATTTTTGTGATGTCTACTTTCATCAGGAATGTGCAACACAACTTAATCCCTCTCTTACAAAAACTGCCCTTGATGTAATTAAAAAAATGAGTGGTAGTCTTTCTTACAAGTGCAACACCTGTCTTAAAGACAATAATGTTAAATCTGACCAGTTAAATAGCAAGCTCGATAATTTGGAGAAATATATGCGTGAAATAACCAACCAACTTATGGAGATTAAAAAAGATCTGTCTCATAGTGTGAATCGTAATGAAAATTTTGAAAAGATTATTAACACAAAAATAAAGAAGCTTGAAGAGGAAAATAATGGACTCAGGAGACAAATGAATCGTGCGGACATCATAATTACTGGTTTACCACAAACTATTCCTAATGAAAAACTATATTCAACTGTTATCGACTTGGCTAAAGCCCTTGGGCTAGAAATCACAACATCTGATTTATATTTATGTTCTTGGATTGGGAAAAAATCTTCAGTTCTGGTGAAATTTAATAGCGTATTAACCAGGGACTCTTTGATGAAAAACTATCGGGCGAATTATGATTTAAAACTAAATCAGATAATGTCGACTGAAAACGTACAATCTAGAGTATATATTAATGCTCATCATACGCCGCTAGTTTCAAAGTTCCGATATTACTGTCGCAAATTAGTTAGAGAAAAAAAGTTGACCGATATGAAATGCTTAATTGGGATATTCCTAGAGCTAAATTTTACTTTCATGATGGAAGGGAGGATGAAGGTGATTCGGAATATGTTATTAAATTGTATACGGGAATGTCTAAAGAGAATTTTTTGAAGGCGATGATACTCCACAAAATAAAGCTGGTGAAGGGACCATTGGTGAACAAAAGAAATAGCTCAAGTTTTAGGTATTAAAAAAAATCATTATTTTCCTTGATTATTAAAAAATTATATTACAAAACA